TATATATATAGATATATTCTTTTTTTTTTGTAGATTAAAAGAAATTTTTACTCCAACTCTTCTTCTTGAACAAAATTAGTTATTATTTCACATAGTATTAGAAAATTTAATACATTTAAATAATTAATTAAATAATTAATTATAAGATATCATTTATATTATGAAAATTAGTTGAGGACTTTTAATATTGTATGAATACAAACTATATAATAATAGAAACTATATTTTATATAAAATAGTACAGCTAAATGCAAGGTTTTATATACTAAAACTAATTCTATATTATATATTAGATTCAAATATGCATGTCTAAAAAATATTTTAAAAAGTTTTCTAAAATATTGTTATAATAAAACCATTTTGCAGATAATGTTGAAATATTTATTAATAACAAAGTTTCATAGATCACACATGAAATATGACTGAGAAACTACTAAAATGTTTCTAATAACTATTTTTTAAATCAATTCAAAAAAATACATCAGTTATGTCTATTAGCATGTAGATGCTATCTTATAATTATTTTTTTTAATTATTTAGATGACTACTTTTGTGTAGAGATAACTTAAGATTTTATAAGATAATACAAATATAGAAGTTAAAGTATTTCATAGATTGTTTTTCATATAGTTACATATAATTTGTTAAAAAATATATATATATATATATATATATATATTGAATACAAAATTTGACAGGATATTGGTTTATAAAACCGCCCCTTATTGGAACTATCTGTCTAGTTTATTAGTGTTTGACAATAGAATTCATTGAAAATGATGAAAAACATATATATATATATATATATATAGATGAAAAATTCATATGGTTAAAAGTTAATTACATATTGTATTTGTATAAGTTTTATAATACACGTGTATTAGCTCCAAAATTTTACAATAATACAAGAAAAATGTTCATAAACTCATTTAAACATATCACACAATCATATTTTAAACATGAGGCTTTAAAAACCCCATCTAATCTAAACCTGCCTGGACATTAATTAAAACAGGAAACACTCACCCAACATTGTGCCACCTTACAGCACATGATGCCTACACTTTGCAGATGTTCTGATTTCATTCAATCAAAAGTGCAATATATTCCATCACTGCAATCAAATGAGGAGTGAGATTTTTTTTTTTTTTTTTGCTTCTCATTTTGATGAAAAGCACTCTTCTAGCCGCATTTCTAAGTTGATCTTCGACTCAAACCTTTGAAAAAGTTCAAAAGCACCCCACAATCCACTAACTGGTGGACAACCCAATAAGCCGTTAAGCTTCTATTTTAAACAATTGATGAAAAATATTGCTATTTTAAAATAAATAATTAATTAAAATGTATATGAATTAATAAAAAATTATTGTATATCTCATTAAATGATCTAGTTAGATTGATAATATTGCTACCAAACAATTAAATTGTTTGCTATAAATTAACAACTTAAAATGAGAAATCAAGGTCATTAGTTATTATGCGTTGCATGTTTTTTGAAAAAAAAAAAAAAAAAAAAAAAAAAAACGTATGGCTTTAATAAAGAAAAAATATATATATTAGAAAATTAAAATCCTTAAACTAATGTTTGGAACTTATAGAACTTTAGAAGTATACATAACTTTTATGTGGTGAGATAAACATAAAAAGATTAGAAAAAAATATGTAACTAAATTTATGATTATATATATATATATATATATATATGCTTTTATCTTAAAATAACTAGATGGTCTTTGAAAAGAAAAGAAAAAATACAAATTAAAAAAAAACTATTAATTTCAAATTCAAAAAAGATTATATATATATATATATAGTAAGAAAGGAAGTTGTTTTAATTAAACTATTTAGATAAGTTGTGTGTTTTAAAAATATCTTTACACATTGGCAATTTAGAATACACTATGATAAATTCAAGGAGTTTTAATTAAAAACACAATGACTTGGAAATTATAAGGTAAGGTTTAAAAATCCTAGTAAGTAGGGTTTTTAGATCTTTGGTCTTGGATCTTTTGACCATTAGTTGGATTTAGAACATATATATATGTATATGTATATATAAATATATATATATATATATATATATATATATATAGATATTTTAAATAATCCATTTAAAGGATTAATATGGAAACTTTGAGTTTTAATCTCATTACATCCTTCAAAAACCTTGTGATAAAATTTTAAAGATAAGTAGATCAAATTTGTGGATGACTTCAGATTTTATTTTATTTTATTTTATTTTGAAAAAATAGATATAAAATCATATGCACAAAAAAATAAATATAAAACAAGGATGTTTTTTTCTTGAATTTTGAACTACACATGTAATTGCAATTATCCCAAACTAAGCATTAAAACTACAAAAACTCTCTTAAACTAGTTACAAAAATTATCCAAAATACCCACCAAATATGCCATATACTATATTATAAAGAATAATATTATTTATATTGCCATAAGATTGATTGTGTTTGTAACATAAATATAAATAATATATAGTAATAATAATAATATTATTATTACTATATCTTTTGAAGAAAAATTATATTTTAAAATTAAATAATAAAATGATCTTAAAATTTTACTTTGCTTAATTTGGAATACTTCAAAAAAAATTATAGTGGATGGTATGTTTAATAATGTATATATATATATATATATATATATATATAAATATATTTCTATAGGAGTGGTCAATTGTTTACTTAGAAATCAAAAATTAAACTTTTACACCTTTTTGTGGCCTATTTGACATTTACAATAGAATTTTTGTTATTTCCAAAATTGACAATGTCATCAATTATTCCAAGTATATATCTTCAATGCTAGGAAATCTTTGTGCACCCTAAACTTGGTCAATTACTTTTAGCACAAGCTATGAGTAATTTGGGTTTAGATTTAATTCTCATCTATTTGAAGTATATGATTTTATGCATGAGGGAGATGAAGAATACATGGAAATTAACTAGAACTTGGTGAATGCAAGAACCCATATGAACACACAAGAACCTATGGAAACTCATTGAACTTACAAAACTCATAGAAAACTATGGAAACTTAGGAACACAAAAGGAATGTAAGGGAACGCTTGGAAACTCAGAAATTGCATAAGAACTTAAGAACTTATGGAAATCCATGGGAACTTGAAATGCACAAAGAACACATGTACACTATTTTGTGTCAAATGGCACAAGTTTCTACTATATATCTATTTCACAATACACTTCTTGTAATATAATCAAGTTCCTATATCATGAAAATAATGAAGACAAAAATACCACCATAAATGTAGCTTATCTCAAGTTCTTTTAACTTAATTATTTAAATAAATGTAATAAATAAAATTTATGTTTTCCAATTACACCATAGAAACATAAATGGTTTTTATTGTTATGCATATACTCTCTTTCTTTCTTTTCCTGGTCAACATTTCTTAATAGTGATCAATTTTTGACTTTGCAACAACAATTTGAACTTTTACAGCTTTTTTGTGGCCAACATTAGGATGTAAGATTTATGCCATGAAGGATTTCATGCATCAATCAATTCTGTTGCAACCAATTTCGTCCAAAATGATAGGAAATTCAAAGAGTTGTTTCACAAGTTATGTTGTGGGGTGCAGCATTGCTTGCAGGAGTGTCCAAGAGTGGCAAACATTTTCTGTGCAATCCTTTTGCTTAGACGCCGAGATCGTGTGAGGCCAGCGAAACCCCAGCGCATGTGAGAATCGAAGATGCGAGGTGATGTTCATTTTTTGCCTCACGAAAAGTGAAGAAGAGTCTCGTGCTGCCGGTGGTTCTCTTGCTGATGCACAGTGACTGTAGCAGCAACTCCGAGGTTAAGAGCAGGTCAAGCGCCTCCAGATCTAACTGTTTACCCGGGATTTTGTGTGGAACGGCGGCTCCCTGTTTTGCGATTTGTGTCCTCTAAGAGTAAAAACTCATGAAGCTAATCTCTCCATAATCCAGCCCAATGGTAGGCCCTACTATTCCATGAAAGCAGGGGTTCTAGCTCCAGTCAACAAGTATGACAATCATTGGATGAAATTGATCTCATGCGCGCATTACATTCAACCAATAAATATTCATTTAGGGTAGCTCAGTCATTACTATTGCTCTCAAACGATCTAGATTGTTACTCGATGGTTTCAAGTTTCACATCGAACCTTGCCCCCAACGTCAAGAAAGAAAATATTTCAATACATCAATGAGGATCAACACATTCAGAGACATGCCCGCTGTGTTATTTTTATATACAAATTGTTTCTCATCAGACCATGTGCTGTTCAATATAAAAAGAGACGTGCAGCTGCAAATGGACGCTAGGGGGAGGGAGCCAGCTAAGGTGAGGTTGAAGCCCTAAACCTGAGCATCTCACTGAGTAAAATACATCTTCTTCTTCTTTTTTCTCACCAACGGGATGAAATCAACCAAAGAACTACCCCGACTGTACATACAATTATGGAGCTTGTGCTTTTACAGTGGCAGTGATGTTTAACGGAAACGTGAGGATGACACTCCGACTAAACTGGAGCAGCCGAGAAGCGCATGCCGCCATCGAGAACGTTGGAACGGTTCCATCACGGCGTGTAAAAGACAAATGCCTCCCCACTGTCCTCCCTGTTTGAAACCCGCTGAATTTGAATGCTCTGTGACCTGAACGGGTTTGTGTTCTGCCTGCACCTTCAACGTCTACTGGCTCCTCTGTCGATTGCACTTACAGCTTGAGTTCCAGAGTAGACAGGCTCACTGAGCTTCGTTGTCTGCACGCCTGCACTTCACCATTATCGGGTTCTGTCAGTGATTACCAGGTTGCTCCACTAGTTTCAAATTCGATTTATGCTTTCATACATCTATTTTCTACACCACATTGGGCTTGCGCATTGGTGGTTGTTGCACTGCTGGCGACGTCCAATACGTTTTTATTTCTCGCAGTCGCTGCTACTTAGAGGAAGAGAACGTGTCTTTCGTGCTGTGTGGTTGACTCGGTGCATTGTAAGTTGTACCAAGAGTAGTCGTCCTCGTGCTGGTGCTCTTTACTCTTGTTGTCTTGGTCTTTGTGAAATATTTTTCGAGGGGCTCCGGCGTTAAGCGGATCTGGGAAGTGTATTGCGCTTTTTCTTTTCAGTGGAAAAGAATTGTTGTACTCCCGATTGTTCTGACGTATTTAATCTCTGCATTGCAATTCAAGTCGCGGCTGTGCTCCACCGAGGTTTTAGTAAGTCGTAGAGGCATTGGGCAAGTGCTGCATGAAGTGTGTTTTTGCTTGAGGAATAGTTACAACGCGGATGCTGAGTGATATTCAAGGATGACACTGAAGTGAGGTTATTATCTTTAGTTCCGCAGATATAGTGGCGTTGAACCACTGCATACGAAAACCTTTCTAGCTGAGTACTTAAAAAGAAAACTGTTGCATTATGTGATTTCAACTGTGTTCAATTGCCATTAAAGGGCTAAGCTCAGAAGTGCCTCGTGACAGAGCTAGCTCTAAAATCCACAATCTTGTAATCAGTACGTAATTTGTACAGAAGGTGAGACAGCGCACAAGCTCGTACGTGCTACCCGAAAGAAATCTCCCAGAGGGTTTCAGAACGACACAGCTCTTGTGCCCTACCATGACTACGGCTACAGGATTTTGAAGTAAAACCTGCGAGTGAAGAGGTTCTTGTGACGATGTTCGGACGAATTGTGGAGGTGTGACGAGCTTATCTGAAGCGGCCAGGTGCTTACGTTCATGCTATGCTTGCCATTTTCAATTCCAGCCTGTTTTCTACTCAACATTTGCACTTTATAACTACTTTGCCGTATCTCTATTTCTTTCAGTGCGTGAATATCTCGCGTACGCCTTAAGTGAAAATTTTCACTTCGAGAACCTTGAGCTCAATTGTTCAGGGGCGCCTTCTGGGGAGAAAGGATTGTGTGATAATGGACCTTGCTTGACACTGGAGTGCTGACCATTGCGAGGGTTCACCTATTTCGATGTCAGGCTGAGTTGTGACCGTCTTTCTGTTCTGTTTCGTAGGAGGAGCATACTGTAAGTGAGATGGAGCAGAGTGCCGACGCGGCGCAATTGAGGGGCCGTGAAATGGCAACGGAGATTTCTGAGTTTTTTCAATCATCAGAGGTGGATAAAACCTCAAGTCCGACGCTGTTGGGGCTTTCAGATGTTCTGAACGGCACAGCCGACTGGCTAAGCGGGAAGAATGGGGATCTAAGGGAGTTGCTTGGGTTCAATCCGAAACCGAATGCCGACAGTGCCAAAGAACAGAAACTCGCGGAATGCCTGAAGAAGCTCGCAGCATTCCAGAGGTCTGCCGTCGAGGAGCTCCAAGAAGATGACGCTCCTCAGCCGAAAGACCTTAATAGTACTCTGTTTTCTGCACGGTGTGTCCAACCGTGCTTAGAGAAAAGTAACAAACCTTTGCCCGAGGTGGGCGATACTGTTTGCAAGCTCCTTCGTCCGAAAGTAGCCGAAGTTAACTCAGTGAAGAATGTAAAGCGGCGCGAGGTGAAAGAGGTTCAACACAAATCTTGGTCGAACTCCACAAGATCTCCAGTGCGGCCAATACAAGGAACGGGAGTCAAGAGTGACAAATCGACCCGACCAACGAACAAGTCACCTAATTGTGCATCTAACTCAAGACAGTATGTCATACACTCTAATCCTCTTGCAAGTGGTCGCAGATTGTCTGCCGCAGGATCTAAACGGAAAGATTCAATAGTGACAATGCAGAAGTCACCCACCAAGTGTAAGCGCATGAGCAACTCCCCAGCACTCAAGTCGAAGCCAGCTGAGAAAAAGAGAGCTGACGTTGGTGGACAGGATGGAAATGTTTCTGTAGTAAGGAGCTATTTAGAGAAAACTCCTACCTCCAAAAGCAAGGTGCCGAGGCTTACGGATAGGCAAAAAGAAATTCTCAAGAGGGTGATGATGAACAGTCCAATGTCTGCGAAGAAAATGACTCAGAGAGAGAAGAACAATGCCCTCCTTTCAAGCGTCGACCTTTCCGCCGCGGGCCGCAGAGCTCGTCGTCTGTCGCAAGTTCTTAGAAATGAGCATGAAGTTACGCATCAGAACCACCAGTATGCAGAAGAATTGCATCAGCTGCAGCGGCAATATGCTATTATGGAAGACGAGGTAATTCCCTGAACTTTTGTGTTCTTGTTCGATCTCCCTCCCATGACTGCGTGCAGTTTGAAGTCATGGAGTGCAACCGTCTGTGGGTATTTGTACATCTTAGCTCTTCGCATATCTTCTGACAATCATCTGCGGCGACTAATTGCGAAGTCACCTCTGGATCTACGAACTCAGTCCCTTATGTCGATAATTGCACAGGCCGATAGGGCGCAATCAGCGGGCATGCTGCTGAGACAGGTGTGTGCCAACCAGGCCGAAGAGCTGAAGGCCTACAAAGAAGCGTTTCCGACCCTCTGCAAGGATTTGATCGAACTCCGAGACGAATACCAGAAGCGAGAGAAGGAACTGAAGCTGGAAATCCGTGCCAAGCTCAGCCTCCAGGCAGAGGTTTCCAAACTTCGGGAGCGTGTTGACTCTTTATCAACTGACATTAAACAGGTCTCTTTTGTTTTCTATCACCACCAATTTTAATTCTTAAGTTTTGTGTCCGGCAGGTTATATTTCGACCTGATTTTGCGAAGACGGCGTTAGGGCCTGGTACTATGTCCAAGTATCTTCACTAAATCAAAACTGTTGTAAAGGAACTTAAGCTATTTGCACATCGCTTTTCATTAGACTGCTCTGATATTTGTATTTTGTCATGAACGTGTAGACGAGAACGTTAAACACCGTCCTCGCGGAACGTGTTCAGCAGCATGAGAAGACGCAGTGCACAAGCTGTCGGCTTTATATAAATCAAAAACCGGTCAAGAAAGCGGTTAATATCTGCTCTTTGCCCTTATCTTCGAAGTTCAGGAGTATTTTTTTTTTTTTTTTTTTTTTTTTTTTATACAGGATTCAGTTTTTGATATAATTTTATTCCTTTTCTAACGAAGGAAGGCTGTCTGCAGATTTCCCCTATGGCTGTAAAGAAGGCTGGTCATCCTCTGGAAACGCCACCGAGACCACGATCAGAGTTGAAGTTTGGGAAAAGGAATAGTCCAAGGCTCTCCGTGGTCCCAATGACAGAGGTAATCTTATCAGGTTCTGAATAATTTATTCCCAGCAGAAGATTGTGTATGAGTTTGTTCTATCGTAACTCAGCGCTGCCTTTTAGTGTACCAACTCTCTTAGATAATGTGATACTTTCATTTGGACAAGAATCAACTCACCTCACTAAATTTCAAGTTCACCTTTGTCAGGTCGAGAACGATGTCCATCTGGAAAACAAGAAAACGATTCTCATGGAACAAAGAGAAGATACCTACAACTGTCAAAAAGAGTTCGTGCAACACGACTCTGCCCTCCATGTAAGGAGCGACAATGTCCCTCAAAAACCTTCAAGCACAGATTGTCCTCCAGTTGATGCATTGAAGAGCAGAATCAATAGCCTCTTGCTCACTGCTTCTCAAGCTGTAGAAAGTTGATAGGCATGTAAAATGCTGGAAAGCAGTTGTAATCTAGACTGTGGTAATTTGCTTCAGTATCCATATTCAACGGGCAGCAAGGTAGAGCACTTGTTAACGGGAGTTGGCGAGGGCCTGGGATATCAATGCCGATGGGATTTGTGTGCATGAGTGAAGGCTTACATCACACTCTGCGTCATGACGCCCCGGCTGAGGCTTTCGTACATTTGAGGACAGCGAATCAGAAAAGACATTGTAAATTTATTTGGTGTGGCAAGATCAGTCTGTTGCAACCGCTAGTTGGAGCAACTGATTTTGATCCTATCAATTCTTGTATGGGCAGTAGAATGAACTACTAGATACTCCTTTCCACTATAGCTCTAAGTTGTGAAGTGACGAAGAAAAAAAAGTGAAAGTAGCAGATGATTTTTTTTGTAACGTATAAAAGTCAAAATGGAAATGTCTTCATCACACATACTCTTAACCCCTAACAGGTAATATCATGCTTGCAGTTCTAGATCCCCGAACTCATATTGACCACAGTGACTGTTTACTGGCGCATTAGAATATTCCGCTCACCACATTATATCATTCAAATTAGATTGGATGGTGAAGGTAGTGGTATTGTGCGCAACCAACATTCTACTACTCCTCGCTAATAATTGTAGCTGAGTTATCAGTTTGTGATATTAAGGAATTAGTGAAAAAGTGCTTGCATCAAAACTGGAAAATTTGACTGATCAATCAGACGTCCTGTCAGTAATCAGCAGTTGAAACAATTCTCTAAGCGGAACAGTACCAGTTCATTACAACGCATAAGAAACTTTAGCTAGAAGGAAGGAATACGCATTTCAGTCGGGTATTCAGGGTGAAGGGTTTACAAGTGCATCTTATCTGGGAAAGTGAAACATCTCATTTGTAACAATATGTTCTTTATCAACTAGTAACCCATTCTATATACTATTAGGCAGCTTTAAAATTCACTTCCTGGTATTACTCTTCCTTAGGTTAATATTACACATTGCCGTCAAAACTTCGATCTTGCTTCCGATTTACCAATGACGTCCTGAAGCGAGAAATCATGGAATGGAGGACCTGCAACAGACACAACTTACAATTATCTGAATTGAAATCATGCTGGAGAACCAATCAACGTAAGAGAAATAGCCTGCGTACTAAAGAAAGATTAATAGCAAAGAATATGAGAGATGGAAACTGGAGTGTGCCTGCTTTCTCCCCAAGCGCGTAGAAGGGTATGGAAGCGACCGCCTTGGTGCCACCTTCACTCCATTGCACGCTACCAGGGCGATTAGGATAGCCAGAGGGTGGTCCCAGTATAGAGGAGCACATTGCTGGCTTATGCATGAGCCCCAAGAACTCGTGTGCGCTTCTCCAAATAGATATGTCCAATACTTGCTGAGACCGAGCAACCTACACAAACTCATATCCATCAGCAAAGGCTGAACAAGAGATTGAAGAGGGAAGTTAATATGTGTGAAATAGAAATGAACAAAACAACGTACTGTACCTTAGAAAGACAAACACGAGGTCTTGGAGAAAGTTCTCTATGACATGTTGCCAATTTAGCAATGGCTGTGACCACGGAGCACAACAAGCGGGATTGGGAAATAGCCGATTCCCTGAAGGCATCATCGTTTCGTTTGTCGGTCCCCTTCATGCGGCTGTTAAAAACCAGAACATGAGAATGTTCCAAAAGACAACTCAGCAGAAAATCGTCTCCATAGTAAGCAACACCAACGAATCATACAAGGAGAGTTTTTACACCTTGTTTGAGGTCAAAAAAATTCAAAGTTGCATAAACAATGGAACTCATTCTTGATATGAAGAATGGGTGTATGAAAATGGTAACATGGATCCTTCGTTCAAACTTTTCCGGGTGAATGCTGAAACAAAGGAGGAAATTCAGCAGGATAACTAGCTAGTGAACTGCTTAACTAGCTGCAGACCTGCTTAAATCCCCACTTCGTTTTAGTATTGTCAATCGAAAGAATGAAAAAAGGTTCCCATTGTCAAGAAACTAGATGAAAAAATAGGGGCAAATTTACTCAACGGTGTCAACCGTGACGCTGCTTTTGAGGTTGCTTTGGAGTAGACTTCCAAAAAATTAGATCTCCAAATACCAAATTTGAATTGCCATGACAAAGAAGGATAATCACCTTGAAGGAAGATTCTCATAAAGAAGTAGCTCAAGGGTCTCAAAAAGCTCACGGGCAGCAGCCTTGTAACCAAAGTCGCCTCCACTATGCTCACCTATTGCCCAACATAATTGAAGTGCGAGCTCTGTCTGCAAAAACCAAAAACCATCCGCTCAATAACACTCACATTCCAGTCTCAAGGCCACTCAATAACATCCACATACAGATGTGGATATCCTAGTTCTAGAACTGTAGAGTTATGATACAATGGAGGGGGACCTCATAAATTTCTTTCGAATGAATCACATCTTGCAACATATGCGCTTAACATCCTTTAAGTGTATTACGTATATAAATTTCGCAAAGACCAAAGCAATCAAAATCCAGATTAATCAATTAACTTAATATTAATAATAACAACAACAACAATAACAGTATTAATAATATGAATAATAATAATTTAATTTTTTACTCTTGATACAAGAAGTTAGTAGTAACAAAAAACGGTCATCATTTTTCAAATGAACCGCACGGAGTGACTAATAACTGTTCACCCCTGGTTCTACTTGAATGAGAACTTCTGATGTGCTGGTTGCAGACGCACTTGAAACATAACACCTGACAAGAAGCACTCACGATGCATTACTTTACCCCTCCGGAAGTAGCTCAGAAGGGCCATTAACATGAAGATCCCATGAGGGACGCACGTGACAAGTACCTTTGCTGTACTGGTATGTAGTTGCCCAACTCTATCCATTATCGGTTTCTGCAACAAGCGCTTCAAATATATTATAGATACAGTCTCCATGTTAACTTGACATAGCCTCTTCCCTACGACCTTCTGTAACGGGAAGAGAGGAAATGTTTATATCTTGCCTTCAAGACGGCTACTAAGTGAGGAGATTGCTGAAATGCGGCTAGCACAAACTCAAGCAGCAATTTTTGTGCCTGGACGAGACATGGTTAGAATTAATAGCAAACTTAAAGCATTACATTATAAGTAAACATTAAGTTTCATAATACATAAACATCAAGGCAAAGCACGGCGTACTACTGAAAACATATTACCAGAAGTGAAGCAAGAACCTAACTCACTGCAAGTACCGAGGATTAGAGAATAAGGAGCCTGTAAATTAAAATTTGGATTCGGAAGCATTGCATCGACTCTAAGAAACACAATCGGCAATAGCGCTGCTAGCAGTGCTGTACCATCCAGATTTCAAACCGATAAATTGGCATTAACAACATCTCTACAATCCACACTGATCCCAATAAGAGGAAAATGTAGTTCAGATGAAAAGAAAAAGAAAAAGAAAAAACACATCCACAGATTCCTTGTTCATTAGGATATTGTGGCCACTGTTCATTGAAGTTTACCAAAGAGCAGCCATGGCAAACAAACACGCATATTGTTTCTACTATTGCATTTGTAGCAGTTTCATTATGAAGGAAACAATGCTGGAACTTGTCAAGATTCATGGGTGAAAGGTTACTCACAGTCATTTACATCTCGTAATGCTATGGTGAAGTAAATATGAAGTAATATGGGTGCCAATGTCATAGCATGCTGCAGCCGTTCTGAAGGGCTCGACCCTACCAATGATTGTAGTGCGGCTGCCATCCCTGGAAATGACCAATGACGTTCCTGTCGCAACTTCTACAAGTAAGATGGCCGACTTCAAAACGAATCACACTTTCATATATTTGGATGTTAATTATATGCTCGTCATCCACAAACTAAGTGTACACAGAAACAAACATTCCAGTCTCATGAGACTGGACACCGCACATATGAATTCAAGGGGTGGCTGACATTGTCACGTCAAAAATATCATAAAAAATAATTGCGATGTTTGATTAAAGAAATGAGGTTCACCGCTAGGCCCTCATTCTCATCTTTGAGCAGGTCTGCAAAAAATGCTTCGGGTTCGTCCTTGGCACCAGCCCCATCATCGCCTTGACTGTCAGCTATTACAGATCCCGTATATGCTTCGTCCATCAACGCAAGCAAAACCTGGAATCAAGCTAAGCACAAATTCAGAGAAAGCAGTCTAAAAACAACAAATCTAGATATCCAGACATCACATTGGACTTTAACATCAAAAGAGTAATATCTACTCCATGAACCAAACTACAAAGTAATTCAATTTTCTTCTGATTCACTCAAAAAACTTAACAATTTATGCGATAAAAAATCACACTAAAATACACAACAAGTTGACATACCTCGGGTGCAGGGCTTTTTTTACTGCCACTAGAAGTCCCTGGTGCAGCTCCGGAACTGGACTGTATATTCTCCAATGCTAATACCAAAGCTGCATATGACACTCAAGGCAAAGTTATCAAATCTGTTTAACCTCATGATGTGAATGCATCATGACGACTTCGCATGTCTAGGAAAATGAATGATGAACATAAACAGATGCTGAACAGCTTCCGATTTTGAAGGTCCGAGTGTCCACTTACTGGGGAGGTCAAGTAGCGCGGGAAACAAAGGTAGAAAGGAGGAGGGTCCAGTTAAAGCTGGCAAAAGATCCGTAAACGCTTGATCCAGCCTGTAAACATCATCATTTGAAAACATCGCTCATTGTAGAGTATTTATTGGAGGCAACATTCGTTGTTACATTGCAAAACCTAGTATATACAATCACGTATAAATTTCCTCACTGGAAACTCGACTGTAGCTTTTACATGAGAGATGTGAAAAGAAGGGCGAGAACTTACTTGCTGCTTCCCCAAGCCACCAGTTTCAGGAGGAGAGGATAGTACTGGAAACACATGAAACAGGAATGATCAATTAGTAATTATCAGTAAGTGAAATTGTTCGTGGTAGTATAGCATCCATTGTCAAAGAGGGTGCCCAAGCACTTGTGAGCATCAACGTACGTAAAGAAGCCTTTGACACTTAAGATTAAATACCTGTGGAAGTAAAGCAGGGTGTGCAACCACCAATTTTGCTTTATTTTGATTCAGAAACTTCAAGGTGGCAGCAGCCACAGTAGCATCAGCATATTGCCTGGGCTATCCCAATCACATTAATCCATAATGGACATGCAGCCAAGGTCGTGCATCCGAACCTCAGAATTAAAAATAAATAAAAATAGCACTAGGGGTTTTACTTTCAGCAGTTGTAAAACCTATCAATCGCAAAAACTCTTTGATTTGCATATTTTGATTCTAGCTTGTCACTTCGAATCGAAGGTCTACGAAGCATGCTTCTTTAGATTTGCAACAGCAATCCTTGTGTTTAAACCAAGATATTACTTTACATGTTCTGGCCATAAATCACCTATCAATATCAATTCACACAGGACAACTGCTAGAACTGAATTTAAAATTTGCAAGAAAGCAGGGAGGACTCACCTACTCAGACAAGAGCGAAAGAAGGTGCGCAAACTTGGATCGGAATCGTGTAACACAATCTCGCCAAAGTCCAAGAAAAACTGCAAGATAGCCTGTTGTATAAAAGGCGAAGTTATAGTAGCGCTCAAGTTGTCACTAAATAAACGGAAGGTATAGACTAAAGCCTAACAAAAAGATTCTCTCAACTTCATCTTGCAGATCATAAACTAATGTCTATTATGGGATCAGAAAGGATCCTACCAGAAGAAGTAAACCAGTGCTTGCTTTCTGAGACAACAATGACGCGGAGCACCGATTAAAGATCTTTACAAGATGTGGGTACACCCTGCCAACTAAATCATCGTTTTGTTCTCCCTTGGCACATAGTCGATGCAAGTTTTTGACCTGGTCAAGTAACATATTTATGTATTGCAGTAACTGAACATGTGATCCTAACACCACGATGAACACCATAGACAACTCCGAAAAATAACTGTGCTTGACATCAGATACAGATGTTTTCTACATAACAAAGACGTCGTTAATATTGCTCCTCAGAAATGTACGAGAGTTCTAAAAGACAAATCCCGCACGTTTAGCGAAGTGGGCTTTAATCTATGTGACTGCACTGGCCCCAGGCGGCAGTGCGATTAATTTGAAGGAAAACCCAAGGGACTGTGTATCTCACTGCGTACAGCATTATGCAGAAGCAACTTTGCTTTGTAGGTTTCAAATTCGACAGGAATTATGCACAAGTTATGGTACGGTTCCGCTCTAGAACCAGCACTGTTTCGTGCAGACTCACTTCTGCCCAGTGTTTTACGAGGTCTATTCAACAGCCAGACCCCTGTAAAAGTTCCACCCGCAGACTCTCCGATGTTAATTAAGTTGGACATCAACTCTGTTCGAAGACGGGTTCAGAGTAAGCGCGGCAGCTCATGACAAATTTAGTGGCGACGCACAACGTTCAGCCCATGGCGTAACAGCATGGACAGCGGGGAAAGTTGTTACACAAGGCTATCAGTGCTCAGACACATGAGACAATTTTTAGCAAAACGGGGTTCCTAAAATATGACCGCAGAATCAAATGATACCATGTACGACGACCTTCGAACCCAGCACAGAATTCTAACGCATCCCGCCATTCTCCCATCTAACTCCCCTGTCTCATTCGTACTCTGTATCGAACCATGTGAACACACCAATTAAGAAAGAGTCGACACATACAGCTCGAAGAACAGTCGTGTCATCAGCAGACGTAGACCCAGCAGTGTCTCGCACGGAATGAGATAGCAAGCGTAACCACATGGACCAATTGCGATCACCATCATTGCCGCCCTCCGCCATAGCTCCTCTTCGCATCGCCCTCTCACCCCCAACACCTACAGTCTCAATTCAATCACTATTAAGCCATCCTCTCCCCCAAACCGGTTCTTCTCCTCTCCATCCCAATCGCTGCACCAAAACCTAAAATCAAAGTGATCGCCTCACTGTTCCAAATTTAATACAACCTCCCCACAATTGCAGCGGAAGAACTCTCGGACTGCAGAATACAATGTAGTGAATGAACACCGTCCGAATGATACTGGACGAGAACCAGTATATCTCTACAACTGACACTGGATAAATCATGTGCGCTGAACTATACTGCATAGCAAACCCCGCCTCGATCCTCACGACGTAATCTCTTCAAGTACAAGAACCACCGATATTCCATAAACTTAGAGGTGTGAACAAGGATTGCTCTTGACGTTTGAGTAAAATTCGACCTGCGAGAAATGACGAATGCCGGTGTGCCAGACAGCGTACGGCATACTATTCAAATGACGAAAGAATACGTCAATCTGTTTGAAAGTACAAACAGCATTTATGTTGAGCGTTTGCACCAGTTACTTTGCAAGGAGCTGCCAAAGGGCGTAGAGGAAATGGTTCACAAAACTTGATTCAAGCACATTGTTGAACTTCTGGAGTATCCGAGTTCACTTCGAAATGTCAGGTTAAACAAGCTCACATATTGCAGCCATCCTTCAAGGATAGAACTCGTTAATCATGCCCATGATTAACTACTTCACGCTGATTCTGGTTCAATGGTCATCGTTCAGAAGTTCTCCGGTGTGTGAAAACGTCACTGTGAAGGTTCAAGCCAGGAAAAGCAGCCCCCATAGAAGACTGAAAGCACGACAAGAGAACTCTCTAAGGTGTGCAGATTCCACACAAGATTGAAAATTCTAGCATTCGACTTGAATGACGAAATGTAATTTAATGTTGTGTTAGCATCGAGGTACTGTGTACGGCCGTGCAAAGCCCGTGCGCAATTAGTTCTGTGTGATCATAGTTCTACTCCATCAAATGATTCAGGCACCAATTGGAACAGACATCAAGAGGTTGTATGCCGTACGTCATTTGAATAGTATGCCGTCAACATTCAACCACGGTAGGTTTGAATAGTCACCATATCTGTATCAGTAAAGAAACATTCCTCCAGCAAGTCTGACCATGACATTGTAGAACAATTATCAACAGATATAAGCGTGTCAACAAAAGACATCTAAACCTGGTTGAGAAGGTCAATGGTAGTCTGTAACACAACACCCATTTCATTACGACATGATGCATGCATGCCTATACTGAAATGTGGTGAAAGTCGGCAGCAGATGAATTGAGTTGAAAGCTACAAAGGACAGAGAGCTCCAGTAAAAACCATGGACAAAAATGAAACACAACCATGCCGGCCAATTGATAGTGCAGAATAGACTTGGAACTGCCTCATTCTTAACTCTTGAAAACTGTACATAGTCTACAATCCCCAAGTAAAGCAACCTCTTCTCGGATTCACTACCACAATTTATCATCAATAAGAGAAGCGGGTGTCCTCCTCTCAATTGATTATGAAGTGTCAACGGATTACAAGCCCTGCATTGATCCTCAAGGACAAGCAAAAAGCTCAAGTGAATACGGGACTGTGCAGGGACCTTAGAGTGTGGCGGCGGACTGCTCAGCGGTTTGAAACTGTGTAGCTAGCCGATCGAGTTGGCCCTTCACGCTCATGTCGATATAGCGAGATCCATCCTTTCCATACTGCACAATGAAGCCGGCGATCAAGGAAGGGTCCACAACGTTCTTAATCCTCACGTTTTTGGCACCACACAGGCTTTGAATCTTCTTAGCGATAAGAGCAAGCTGGGGTTTCTCGATTTTGACAGCCGAGATGACGTTAGCCATCTGCGTATCCGTGAGATCGTTGAAGATAGCCTCGAATTCCTTAGTGACTTCCCTGATGAGTTCAATGCGCTTCTTGTCAACCAAGAGGTTCAGGAATGAGATAGTGACATCACTAAACTTCGCGTCCTCGGCAACGGTCTTGAGGATGCTCTTCTTCTTGTCGCCATCAATAACAGGAGACACCAAGAAGTCGTATAGCGTCTCATTGGTCAAGAGCTCGCCCAACGCCTCCATATCCTGGTTGATCTTCTCCAAGTCATTGTTGGCCTGAGAAAGGTTAGCCAGGGCAGCAGCGTAGCCTCCTGCAGCGGTCTCCGTCGACGCCACCACGACGCCCCTGCTAGAACTAACCAACGGGACAGACACAGCCTTCGCTACCTTAGCCACCAAAGCTCCGTTCCCCTTGAACGACGCTCCGCTCCCGCAAAGGAATCTCGCTTTCGCGTGCGTGAGGCGAGATCCTGTGGCAGGGGAGGAGTTCACCAAGCCGTTCGAAGAGGACACGGAGGGCACCACGCCCGCCCTCGCAGACTGCTGCAACGCCTCCATTGCGCAGAAATTCTCCACCACGATCCTGTCACGACGATAGGGAAGTGTAGTAACGGACTGCGATCGGTGGTATCGCGGCGCCTGCAATTCTAAGGTGGGAATCGGGGACGCGGCGTGCGTGCGTCCGTGGCCACGGAGCGAGGCGAAGGAAGGAAGGAAGAGGCAGAGCGCCAGGGGCGTCCAATGGACAGCGGCCATGGGGATAAGGTGGGGATAGGGCTGCTGTGCACTTCAATCGCTTTGCTTCTATTGGGCCCAATCGCCTCCGTTGCCTTTGTGGCCATGGTTCCTCCCCCCCCCCTCCCTCTCTCCTAACCTCGGCAGCATTTTAACTCATGTTTGAGGATTTAAAGTGATTTTTGCAAACTGTATTTCATTGCTGATTTTCTTTTCAAATAATGCTCTCGGCTGTAAAGTTTTTAATTTTTTGGGATCTTTGAAAATAAACACATTGGTATTCAAAGATGTGATTTAACTCTCATTTTCTGGGGTTTTTCCTACTGTATACAGAATTGCTTGGATTGGACAGATAACAATAATCCTATAAAAGCCATGTTATGTTATTTTAAAATACAAATATACTGAGATTAACAATATTGGCTTGAAGTTTGGTATTGATGATAGGAAATCAATTATTTAATATGTCGAATTTTTTGTTTGGCTTTGAAAATATTTGTGGCATAAACCTTCATGCTTTTGAAAGAAATGCATGATTTAAAATTTGAATCTTTGTATTATTCAGCAACATCAGATTGTTTTCAATCAAGAAAAGTTTAAATACTAGCAATTCATTCTCTTGCAATATTATATGACCTTTGTTACATGAGTATTTCAACCGTTAAACAAACCTTTTTTTTTTTTCTTTTTTTTTTTTGCTCTTTGAGATAGCAGAATTAAATAAATTTAAATAAAATTAATCCATTTACACTATAAAAAGATGTATTTTACACAGAACACTAATCAAACTATGTGTTCATGAAAACAGCAACAATAGCATCTATTTTGGTTATTTTCTAAAACCCATCATTGACAACTGACAATGAGATGTAAAAACATTCAACAGATCCTGGAAGTGCATTGCAAAATCCTATAAAATAACTATGTTCATCATTTTAATATCTCATAATGAAATTGAGTAAGGATTATTGTTCATATGAGTTTCATAAAATCAATTCAAACTGTCCAAAAAAGATTGCTTGAGTTGATTGAAGAAACTAACATTATCCAATAATGGATTAGGTTTCTGAATGCCATATTGTGTTAACATACCACATACTTTAAAAATCCTGAATACCCCTATACAAGGTGGGTATGGAATGTTGTAATGTAGACAATCCATTCCTGACCACTTAAGCAATGTAACATATTTGTACTATGGATATGACAAATTTTAAAAAATAATAATAATAGTAATAATGTATAGAGATAGAATTCAAGAGGATTCCGGATTTTTTCATGTCATTTTGCCCAAAAAAAAAATTCCTATGAATTTTCTAGTTGAAGATTTTGTTTGTCATAAACTTTTCATATAGGGTATCCTAATTCCAACCTAGGGTTGTTTACAAAATCCAAAAATCTTAATTTTTGTATTTGAGAATTATAGCACCTAAATATACTTTTAATCTACATCTCATACTATATTACCTGAGAATGATAATATGTAGATGAAGTAATCCAAATTCAAATATCTAGTTGTCCATAATTAATTAGTTTATTGTAAGATTTTTGCAACAAGATTTCTTTATTTTCGCTCATTTCTAAACTCAAATTTGCTTATCCTCCATCTTTCAGCCTTACTTTAATGGCTCCTTTAAGTTTTTTCTCCAACATTCAATTGCATAGGCCATGCAATTTGCATATGATATAGTAGAAAAAATTATTGCAATTGTGTGAGACTTGGAACCATAGACAATTGTTGTAATTACAACATAGACTGTACAAAGGTAACAAAATTTCAAAATGGATTGCTAAATACAAAATGCATGCCTTACATTAGTTGCAAATTGGATGCTAGTGGTTGTGGATCAGTACATAGTAATGATGCATATTGAAAGGGAGGCCTAAAGTTTTATCCTCCATTTGGAATCTATACTAGAAGTAAAGCACCTTGTCCTTGCATCCTTCTCTATAATTCCTTTACAACTTACAATGCATGAGCCTCTACTTATAAGACTTATTGTTGTACCTTTAGATGTACTACCTTGTTGCATATGACCTTTTGCTCTTATATCTTGCATGTGCATTTTGTTGCTACATTGTGCTCTTGAGCTTCTTTTAAAATTTATCTTTCTTCCCGCTTCTCCTACTCCTCTAATTTTTTCCATTTTGGTACTTTGCACTAAATTTGTATTCTTTCTTTTTCCATTAATAAAATAAAAAATATATTCATAAATAAATAAATAAATAATTTAAGCATTATATTATATTACAATGGTTATATATAATTAACATAGTTCTACATAGTTTTAGTAAAAATACTTCCTTCTATAAATATAGAAGGATGATTTGCCTAATCCTCACAAAGATATATTTATTATAATTGTTATGTAGGTAATCAATAGTAAATCAAATCTTCATTTCCAAGAGGAATTAGAATACATTATTATATAGCATGATTTTCTATCTGAGAATACATTGAGTACCTAGCTATAGAAAATTTAGCTTTAATTCACTGGCTAAGTTTTATTAAGAGATGTATTCTTATTATAGTAGAGAAATAAATAAAACAATATTAAAAGATATTTTACTTATAAAAATCATTTTATGTTTATGAAGCTTTATACGTAAGGTTTTTTAAAGTATCTAAAAATGTCCTAACATCCTTTGCTATACTAAGTCATAATTAACTATTTGCTCATAAGCTAGTTTTCTAATAAGCTAAAAAAAATCTATAATCTTCTTTCAAAAATCTATCTTTATATCATAATTTTTTTATAGCTCCATATCTCCATCTTTCATATATATATATATATATATATATATATATATATAAAGTCTTAACTTCAAAAAAAATCTCTTTACTTTACATAAAATATCCAAATTGTAGCAAAGTCCTTTCAAAATATTTTTCTCTTACAAAAGATTTTTTTTCCTTAAATTTTAGAAATTCATATTGCTTGATTCAGTTGTTCAATTTTTTTTTTAAAATTTTTAGATAATCTTTAAATTTTAAATCTTAAATTTTAAAATTTTAAATCTTCAATCTTTAAATTTTATTATAAAAAATATGAATTGTAACTCTACTTTTGATTGTTTGGCATCTTAGAAAACCTAGCAGGTACTCTAAATCCTAATTTATAAGCACTAGAGTACTATTTTCTCCATATCTCAAAAATCCAAAAGCTAAATGCTACAAAATTTGTATATAAATTTTAATAACATGATAATATACATTTTTAGAAAGTTTTAGCCAAAATATTATCAAATTTCTTAAGATATAGCTTGAAACACAACCACTAGTAAATTGGCTCACTTATTGCTCTTAGATTGCAAGTATTTATTTCAACTTACTATATCTCCTTCATTCCAATTTAGAATTTATCAAATAAAATATAAAAAAATTATTCAAGAAAGTGATCTCTTCAATCTTAGTTGCCAATCCTTCATTTCTTTTTGTACATGTAAATTATGTCTAGAAGAATGACGATAGGTACAAAATCATAATTGTAACTTTGAGCGCCTGTATCTCTTTCATAAAAACTCCAAATTATTCAAAATTTATACTAAAACCATAGCCAAAAACCTAAACGTCTTGAATCTAGTCTTGCAAGTTTGAATGGTCTGAAAAAAATAACCCTAATTCCTAAAAAGGCCTCAAGCAGCCTCCTTGAAGTCCATTGGACATGACTTTTGGCCAATAAAAATAGAGATTTTTATCATCTATCTCCATTCATCCATATGGATGACTTAACTATTTTTTTAATATAAAAAATATTTTGTAATCCTTTTTCTAATAAATTTTTCATAATATGTGCCCTAAATACCAAATAATAGAAACAAAACAAGATTTTAAGAATCACCAATGTCTAATAAAGATAGCTCTAAATATACAAAAACTATTATCAGTATAAAATCAATCTCAATAATAGCCCTTTTAAACTAACTACTTCAAAGTAATAATCTAATTATATTTTGTAACCAACTAAAATCTAATAACATAGCTCTCATTATATTATATAATAAATTATATATATATATATATATATATATATATATATATGCATTATTTTCATATGAAAGCCAAACCACAACACAACATCGTACTAGTACATTATAAGAGATTATGCATTCTGATGTTCATGGAGCAATGAGGATACTATCAATTGGAGGAACAAGATACTTTGTCACATTTATTGATGATTTTTTAAGCAAAATATGGATTTACATCTATAAAATCAAGAATGAGTATTTTTCAAGATTTAAAAAATTTTAGGCACAGAAGAAAAAATAATATAAGTGTAAGATCAAAGTATTGTACATAGACAATGGAAGTGAATATATATATTAAAGCATTTTGATAATTTTTTAAAGATTCAATACATTGCAAGATAAACTTTAATTCCTTATACTCTATAATAAAATGAAATTTTTGAAAGAACAAATTACACCATTGTAGAGATGGTAAGAAATATGCTTCAAGCATAAAATTCTGGACATGAATATTTGGTTGAAGTTGTGGTTGCAGTAGTATATATAAGGAATAAAGCTTTATAAGTACACTCACATCAATGACTCTACAAGAAACTTAGAGTGGCAATAAATCTTATGTTTTATACACAAAGATTTTTAAATGCATTACATATGCAAAAGTACCAAATTATCTGAGGTCCAAACTTGATGCAAAAAGTACAAAATATATGTTTATTAGATATTATGAAGGTACAAAGGTATATAGGCTTATGTATTTAGAAACCAAGAAGATCATCAAGAATTGTGATGTAGAATTTTTGGAATATAAGAGTACTTGTAAGCACTTGGAAATGTATCTAAGTGAAAATAATGGTGTGTTTATAGACATATCTATAATTCCAATAAAAAAAAAAAAAAAAAAAAAAAAAAAGATAATAAGAATGAAGATGATAAAAATATGAGTGAAGATAAAGAGAAAACGAAGGTAAATCAAAGTATGTTTACAATTATTAACACTAGCAATAAAGACGATTGAGATATTGAAGATGATAATAATAAGGAGTAACAACCATTAATTCTGAAGA